AATTGTTTATTTCAGCATCAAATTAGGGTAACATATTGTAGATATTTACTATTCAGCTGCTATAGGTCTATGGGCCATTAAACTTTTGTCAACCAAGGGGGGGCGGAGGCCCCATTTGGCATCCACTACCCTCTGTCCCTGAGTATGAATAGGTTACTTTATGTATATAGCATATGTATTAAAGTGTAAACAAACTAGTGTTGTAGAGGTAATATTGGACCGTCCGATAGTCCTCGAACTATGAGGCTATAAGAGTGGGAATGGTCCAAAAAGTTTAGGCTGTTCCAAAAACCTAAATGTTGAGTTGATCAGACCATGATGTGTGATATCGGACTATTCAGTAACTCATGAAAGTTTATGGTGCTCTCGGGGTTTGAAAAAGGGATTTATCGGATCGTCCAAAGTGGTAGCACACACCGTCCAAAAATCCCTGGACTTGGCTGAACTGAAAACATTAAGCGTTGTCATCGGATTGTCCTTCACGTAAGGACGAATGTCTAAATTTTTTGAAAGTTTCTGCAGAAGGTTTTTGGGCTCAGGGTGATTTATCGGACCGTCCGATGGTGAGTATTAGACTGTTTGATGGATCACAGTGCATATGTTCTAAGTGATTTCATGGGCGAAAAGTGTAACTAGTGTTCTTGCATGTTTATGGGACTTGGCAGAAGGGTTCCATCTAGCAAGGTAGATTGCTCTACAGCGAACTGACCCTAGCATAGTTAGTTAGGTTCCTTGTGGTGGAACCTGTCCACCAGGGTTTAAGTCCTCGACTTGGCACAGGTGCTCTCATTTTCCTAGATTTATTCTAGGATTTAACGGCGTTGTGCTTTTAGTGGTAGGCGACGTTCCCACCGACAACAAGGCACCTATGGTGACTTCGGCAATCTTGAGATGTGCCGGCATAATCTTTCGGAGGTGCTCATAGGGGTAGAGTTTATTGTATTCATAGGGGTGAGTGTGTCTATACTTGTGTAATTCAAAAAAAGGTTGTAGGAGTTATGATACCCGGGTATCTCAAGACACCGAGTAGTTGGCCTCTTAGGCGGCCCAACTGGACCGAGGCCCAGCGACCTTGGCCCTCCAAAGTTGTAAAGGTCCTAGGCCAGGTACCAAGCTGTGTGGTCCACCATGACCTCTCCCTTCTCCTTCCGCTGCACGCTTCGCAGCACCGCACGACCTCTCCTCCGTCCCGACCCCTAGGAAGGAGCGGAGGGAGGTCAAGCTTTGTCAAATACGCCAGCCCTGATAGGGATAGGCATGCTCCACTCACTCCGCTAGGACCGAGGGGACAGCCATCCCCCATCTTGAGACAGACGCCATCCCTACACCATCATACCAGACAAGACAACACTACCAGGCGGTGATGACTAGTATGGCATCCCACCATTCAAATACGGCCCGACAAGATACGCGTATGGCCCCACCTGCTATGGGATGGGGCACACGACCCCGCCCTTGACTTTCAAGACCAGCCAAGCCATCGGGAACCTCGACTTCACATTCCAGGACCGAGACCACCGGCGCCACGACTAGCAAAGGCGACCAATGACCCGGGAGCGGCTACCTGCTCCCACACTATCGCCATGGTGCCACCAAGAGAACATGAGACAATGACAAAGGCCATGGCAAGATCATGTCGCACAGGACAGTTGGCGAACCACCACCGTGCCAATAGTGTCGTCATAGCCGTGGCACTGTAGCATCACGCCATGCCATGCCGCGACATGGGAGCAAGACCATGACGCCAACCACACCGGAACGTGCGTTAACGCCAAAACAAGATGGTCTTGCTTGCAAGCCAAGCTTACTAGCTTTCCTCGGGCTCACGACCACTCGGTCGGGAGAACCCCTCTCTCTCTCTATATGTAACATGGCCCCAAACTCTATATAAGGGTGGCCAGGCCTCCCTTCCAAGGGGACAGACTCTCAAGACTTCATTTGGGCAGTCGTTCACCTCACTCCTCCTACCTCTTTCCCTTAGCTTACACACCCCATCGTAAGAACTTCAGAGCATTCAACCAGGGAACACGAACTCCAACTCTCTCTGAGACTGGACTTAGGGCTTCGGCCTGAACTAGTATAATTCCTTGTGTCTTTGGATGTTGCCATCGTTTTCTTAGAGTAGCGTGACACACATATAAATTCACTAGTCGGTTGACAAAGCATCGACAAGGGTAGATTGCTCTACATTGGCTTGGTTCACAAAAATACTAGTTTGGAGATCTCTAGGTGATGAACCAACTAGAGGTTGTCTTCTAGGGTCTCTAGGTGTTGGAGCTCAGGATTTGACTTACCAAGAAGATGGAGAAGAAGCAGCACAAGCTCCTTCTTGAAACCTCCTCCTTGGACCTTCCCTTGCTAGACAGACGAGAGCTCCTACCCCTTCAATCTCAAGCAAGTGGTGTGGGAGGCTTCTAGTTCATCCTTTTCCTTTCCGTGCTCCTTCTTGAAACCTCCTTGAACCTTCCCTTGCTAGAGAGATGAGGGCTCCTAACCCTTCAATCTCAAGCAAGAGCAGGTGTAGGTCATCCTTCAAGTAGTGTTGAGCTCTTGGTCGATCCTTGCTGCTCCTCTTCCCTCCTCCACTTCCTTGGTTTGGTGAGGGCCTAGAGAGAGAGAGAGAGGGTAGAGAGCAAGAACTAGAGGGAGAGAGTGAGAATGAGACAGTGATTGGAGAGCTTCCCGGTGGCTTGGAATCGTGAGAGGCAGCCACCTAGGCTAACAGGTTGGGCCCCAAGTATTTAGAGTTTGACAACTCACCAAACCGTGCATGACTGTGATTTGTCGGACTGTCCGACTTGAATCATCGAACTGTCTAATAAGAGTCATGTTTTTGCAAACTTAAAGGTCTAAACGCAGCTCACGGACTATCCGATGGGAGACATCGGACCGTCCGGTAAACAATATCAGAGCCCAAAAAGTACATAATTTAACATGCAAGTTTAAAAACTTTAGATTAAAATGCAGATGATGCTTATGATAATCAAGTTGGCACGATTGGGTCATGACCATTCATTAGTGCAATGAGAAATAAAATGAACCTAATGCCTGAACATAGATTATCCTCGCATCCTCACCTTGTGTCCAAGGACAATAGATCATGGACCGCAACTTGCTCTTTGATGTCACTCTGCTTCGGCGTCTCGTGTAACACCTTGGTGAGGCCATGGTGCACCACGCATAGCGATGATAGCAAGACTGTTTGAGTGATCGGACATATGAACATTCAAGGGTCGCTGAGTCGAAGAGTTACAATTGAAGCAAATATGAAGAGATCACTCATACCCATAGACAGCGGACATTTAATGATTCAGCGGAGAAAAAATATTTGAACTAAGGATTAAGTAGATTTGATGAGCTAAAAATCTAGAAATATAGGCCCTTGGAAATTGGGGTCCCTATTCCATCACACGGGCTGCTCCCATAGGCCTAGCCCTAGTTATTGAATTTTAGACCTATGACTAAGAGCACACTAGCATGGAGAGTGAAACCTAGTTGTCAACCAAACAAAGAGCAAAGCATAAAGCCAGAACAGGGATGGAAACACTAGAATTGAAAAGATGGACAAGAGACAACTAGATTTTTTCCCACCCCTGACCTATGTTGGAGTACCAAAGAGTCACTAAAACTCGGTTATGCTCTCTTGAGCCACAAAAACTGAAGTTTCCACTACTGAACATTCGTTATCCGCTTCAGATAAACATGTTTCAAACTGAGTATAACTCTTGGAGCCTCCCCACAAAATAACTCCATCAGAGGCGTTGGCAAAAACCCATAAGAGTAACAAATCTCCAAAATGTTGCATGCTCTCCACCAAATGCTCTTGATGTAGGCAATTAGCTTAAATAGCCTTGATGTAGACACATCACACCCTTTACACGTCGGCAAGTAACTCCTTACTAAGAGGGTGTTTGGGACTGCTCCACAAACTCCACCGTGGAGCAACTCCACAAAAAACTAGAGTTTGTGGAACACATCTTTAGGTGCTCTCACAGCTCCACCTTTCTCTTCGAACAGAGTGCGTGGAGCTAAAACCGTTTAGCTAAAAAATGTGGAGCGGAGCAGTCCCAAATACCCCCTAACTTTAATCAAATATTAGAATTATATATTTTTAAAGATTTTAAAGAAAAGTCACGTAACTCCATATTTAATTGTAGCAATTTAAGATATATATTTCATCTAAATATTGATGTGCTTTATAACACAAAAAATTTATTAAAATTGTATTTTATTGATACATGCTTAATAGAACATTATCATTATTGTATTATGACTAATATTAACTTATATTATGGATGTCAAATTATATATGTTAAATTTTATAGAAAGGGCAAAACATAAATATATACAATTCCGCGTTATTTCTCATGAACATTTGATAGCTTTTTTCCCTCCTGTTGTAACACAAGGATATGCTTGTTAGTCAAATACTCCATCCGTCTTAAATTATAAGTCATTCCAAGAATCTTAGAGAGTCAAAATATTTTAAGTTTGACCAAATTTATATAATATGATAATAACATTTATGACATCAACTAAGTATCATTAGATTCTTTATTAAATATATTTTCATAGTATACTTTTTTGATATCAAGAATCTTTGTATTTCCCTCTATAACTTTGATCAAGCTTGAGATAATTTGACTATTCAAGATTCTTAGAATGACTTGTAATTTGAAAGGGGTGAGTATAAATTAAAGATAACACAGAGATCAAGATCATAGACTTTACTACCCTTTTACCAGATAAAATAAACTTCATCAGAGGTGCCACAATGATATGAAGTTTTTTATTATTCTAAAACCTGTAAACGCAGCCAAACAGCTGATAACCATCCAAGACAGACAAAAGAATCAAGATAACTGCACTAGTGATAAATACATGTGTGAATGAGAAAACCTGTGATAAATACAGGTGTGAATGAGAAAACCTGAATTCATGTGTCAAAAACATCCCAGTCACAAGCCCACATGGGGCAACAAATTTATACAAACACCCTCTCAAAGGCTCCTCTCGACAAAATCCCAGATCCTCTCCTCCATGTAGATCCGGTCACCAAGCCGTCGTGGCATGTGCCTCTCGTCAGGGAAAAGGAGGATTTCATAAGGCTTGCCCTCTGCCATCAGTGAGTTAACGAGCCTTGCCGTGTGCCTGAAATGCACGTTCTCGTCAATCATCCCATGGATGAGGAGCAGCTTCCCTTTCAGGTTCTTCGTGTGGTGCATAATTGACCCATACTCGTAAGCATCCGGATGCTCTGCAGGCAGACCCAAGTACTTCTCTGTGTAAAAGGTGTCGTAACCATCCCAAGCTGTCACCGGAGCACCAGACACTGCACAACAGAACGTGTCTGGAAACCTTGTGAGGCACATTGCTGAGAGAAATCCTCCGTAGCTCCAGCCATAGATACCAATATGGCCAGGTTTTGCAAGGCCCTTCTTTATTAACCACTCAGCGCCTGCTAATTGATCTTCAGCATCAACGCGACCAATATTGTACTTCAGTTGTCCCTCAAAATGCAGTCCTCGCCTTGCCGATCCTCGATTATCCATCTGCGAGAAAAACAGAGTCAGTTATTAAATACTCAACAAAATTGTTGTCATGAACTCAGCATACACCCAACTAAATGCCAGAAGTCATATATTATATTATATATGTACCTAAAGATGAAAGATACAAGTGGCTATACTTGCATTACAGCTGCAAACATTTTTTACTTAAACAGACAGTTGTGCACATACAGCTTGCAAAAGTACGAAAGGAGAAAATTTAGATTACATTTGTTTCATACCCAACTGATAGACATCTGAGTATATATATTTTCTTATTGTATAGGTACCTACTTTCAGTTAATGCAAACATTGGTTATTCCACATATATGACTTAGAACTGCAGGGCAAAATAGTGTTTTTCGGGGGGTGGGCAGCAAGGGGTGATGTGGAAATTGCATCTCATGAATTAAAATCTTATCAATTAAGTAGAACATTACATATCTAGTCAAGAAAAAAAATCAAGGAAATTATACTAATTGAGGTGGTGGCATTTATCAACTCCTCAATAGCTGACAATTTGCTTTGGAACGTCACTTGGCTCAATTACAACTCTTAACAACTCTCTAAAGTAATGTATTGCCATGCAATTCTCATAGGTCAACTTATAAATTAACATAAAACAAATGCACGATCTCCAAAAGTAAAATTATGCCCAACTACCAAAAGAAACAAGAATATAATATTTTACCTTCCAAACTAATATACCCTTACTTCGTAGATATTGAGCTCTCATGTCAACTGTACACATCCATGAATCACTAACAAGCTGGACACTGGGGCCACCATAAACATTAATCAGTGTTTTGTAGGGAGGTGGCCCATATTTTCTCTCGTCAGGAAGGTAGAGAGCGCCATATAAATTGGTCCCATCCTTTGCTGTAATTTCAACTATCTCTGGAGACCGCTGCTGGAACTTTTTAAGCGGCGGAACTGTCAATGGCTGTTCAAACAGGGGCATAATTACACTTCCATCAAGCAAAGAGCACAGCAAGATCACAGGTGGAGATTTTATTGTGTCGTACACATCAATAAACTTCAGCAACTGATGATCGAGAATTACTGAATGCCGGCCAGTTCCACGAGTCAGCCTTTTAGGGGTTTGCAAGGGAAGGCTCCAATCTGGAAAGAGATTAGTGTGGTAGAGATTTGTCTCCAATGGTCCATCCAACGTGCCAGTGAAATATATAAGTCCATTACTCTCATTGACACCAGCAATGTGCTCAACCATCCAATCACCTTGTGTGAGAGGTCCTAAGCATGTTCCATCATTGTCATGAACATATAAGTGCCTGAATCCTGTTTTTTCACTGGCCCAAATAAAGCCACCTGGATGTTTACTATTCACTCCTTTGTCTAGTGGAGTGAAGCAATCATGCAATGTGATCCATATATCATGCTGCTCTTCTAGCAAGACTTCTCTTTTACCTGTAGTAATATCAAACTTCAGTAATTTAAGTTTCGTATGAGATCTGTTGAGAACTTGAACAGCAAGAGCACTATTATGCATCCAGTTGACTCTAGCTAAATATTCTTCGTCACTGTGGGAACCATTTGGATCTCCACAAAGGAGATCCATCCAAGTTACTTCCCCTCCATGGGAAGGAACAACACCAAGTCGCACTTTAACATTAGCTGCTCCTGCGAAAGGGTACGCATGGTCTTCTTGAGCATCTGGACCAACAGAACTTTTGCCCTGATGCATAATTCTATACAATGGAATCTCAGTTGAATCCACTTCAGTAAACACAAGGTGCTTGCTGTCAGGAGACCACCAAAATCCCATCTTCCTTTCCATCTCTTCCTAACATGAGATAAATGCAAATATTAGCTACTAGCCAACACAATTTTGAAACAAATACTGATGGATCATCATGGGCACCTGTGCAATATACTCGGCAAGCCCATGGACCTGAAAAGATTAAAAAAAAAACAAAGATGTCAACTTCTAAAGCAGCAAGAACAATAACATATAACATGAACTTTTATATACCACAGACAACTAAAATAAACAACATCTGTTGTTTTAGCAGTTATAGGAATGGACTAGCATAAGAACATGCATGTTGCATAGGATAGGTATGTTTAATAATGAAAATATATCATTGTGGAAGGATGATATAGGCCTATTTAGCAGCTTATATCATATACAGTAACTTATTCATTCATTACATACATAGTTACAAGGCAGCTCCTAAAAACCTAGAATACCCTCGAAGGCTGTTGTGTCCTTGTAAAATCTTCAAAACTTATCTGAGCACTACAAGACAAAAGACACACGCGCGCTAGGTTCAGCTTACCTGTGAACGGAAAGCTAAAGCTATAAAAAAAAAAGACCAGCTCAATGGTTCCAGATTAAGCTTATTTCAATGGCTAACTAAGACTAAACAGGATCAAATAGACCTGTGATAGTCAGCACCAGTACCACAGTTTGCTGGATGGTTTAATTCCAAAATACCTAGAGATTGACACAATGCATTATGCATGTTACGATGAATATCAAAATAAAATTGCAGTTTGAAGCAGTCACATTGGACATGCTAAGAAAGCACTCTGATGCTTCTAAGAAGTCAACACGATATGTTATTTTGCAAATGCTGGCTAACACTAGATAATTTTTAATAACATTGTTCAATTATGATATTGTAAGGAGTTACCTTCCTACTTTCTCTTGCACCGAAAGTTAATTGCCTAGTTTCTCCACTGGAAAACCCCAAGGTATGCAGCTTGTCATCCTTAACGTATGCAATCATGCTCCCATTTGGAGATAGATATGGGTCAATTATCGGAGATGTGGGAGAACTTTGTAGTTTCAGCACTGGTTCGGAGCCAGATAAATCCTGGAAGTAAACCTGTTGATGTAGAAAGTACAGTCAAATATTACTCTGATGAAACAGCATATCTGCCTGATTTTCAGAAACAGCTAAACAGTTTCAGCATCATAATTTCCTAGAAACAAGCACATTAACACTAAACTAACCACATATGAAAACAAACAACACATTTTCCAAATTTGGTTTTCCTAAAATCAGAAAAGAAATAGTTAATAGCACCAGCAGACAGGAGTTACCACATATAACTAAGAAAAGTATTGCATAAAAAACTGAATTAATAACAACATGGGTGCTCAGGAAAGATTAACCAAAGAAAGTGAATGTGGTTGTTATCATAAAGTATAATGATAGAGTTTAATATTTACATTGTGACAGTTTAGACATGCCTTAACTCAAAATGCACTGAGCAATTTAAAATCCAATTGAAATTTAAGTCTACAACAGCACATAGAATTTTTCAAAGGGTTCAGGTTTTGTGCTACAGTATGTCCTGTTAAACTTCATTTTCTGAAAACATGGGAATATAAATGGTACATGCTCCCATAGTCCCATGTGCTAAATCTGCTCAACGAAACCAACTGCAAGCTTCCATTAAATCAACACACAAAAAAGAGAGAGCTTTGAACCTAAGTGTATTTAATTTCAACCTGCTCAATCCAATGGATGTTCAACTATCAAAGTGTGATCTGTCATGGAAGTTCAACTATCATCTCGAAAAGCATCTTGCCACATCATAATCCCCTCCATTGAACTAGTAAAGTATAATTAATTTCAACCTGCTCAATCCAATGGATGTCCAAAAACAATTTTCTATTGCAAACAACGAATACACAATCAAGTAGTCTAGTGCAAACATATTGCAATCGATCAAGCAGATTTGTTCCAGTAAATTGACACGAGGGAGAACTTTAATTTAGTTACCCCGGATGGGAGCGGCACGACAATGCCGGCGCGAGAGGAGGATTCACCGGAATGGCGAGCGCGCCACTCGTAGCGAGTGACCCCGAGGCCGCGCTCCCGTGCGCGCTCGCGCCGCAGGCGCTCCTCGGCGGAGAGGTTCCCCTCCTCGAGCCCGCCACCGTCGGGGGCCCCGAAGAGCAGCTCCTGGCAGCGCTGCGCGGTGTCGAAGGTGAACACCTTCCGGTGGAGCGTGCCGTCGGGGCTGTACAGGTAGGCGACCCGGCGGTCGTCGGGGCTGAAGCTGAGCACCGAAGGCGCCCCGTAGCCCGGCAGCGGGTGCTGCACGATCTCCTCGACCGTCATGCCAAAGCAGTCGGCGCCCGCCGCCGCGGAGTCCACACCCCGGCCGCTGTCACCGGCCGCAACGGCATCCGCGAGCGGCATCTTGGTCCTGTGCTCCAGGCGAGGCTTCTTGCGGTTGTGGTGATCCGAGCTCTCCGCCCCCGCCGCGTCAACCGATCGCATCGACCGCAAGGCCGCCGCCGGGAGCTCCTCCTTCTCGGGGCCTATCCCTCGCCGTGGAACCAAGAAAGCCGGGATCTTTCCCGGCTGGGAAAGGGAAGAGAAGAGATCGGAAGCCGCCGCTCTGGGATGGGATGGGATGGGATGGGATGGGATGACCAGATGAGAGTGGGTTTGTGCTGGGGGGTTTGGTTGTTGACTGTTCCAAGGAGGATTTGGAAGTTTGTTAAAGATTTTTTTTGCTAGGCTTTTTTATTTTTATTTTTTTGCCAGGCTACGAGTCTGCTTCGGGAAATCTTTCGTTTTTGAGAGAGAAAATATGGCATTCCTATCCGCAACAGCGCAACATGAAACATGTGAGCGGCCAGCTAACCACCAACCAAACGCTCCCTAGGGCTAGGCCGTTTTTCTAATGGCAACCTATCCCGTGCAAATCAATAAATCTATACAAACTTCGAAACTATCAATCAAGACCACTAAATACTGATTCAATGTATGGGGTGAGAGGGCTTAAGCGAAAAAAAAAGACCGACGGGTGGGGGGCTTAAGCATAAAAAAATCCCATCTCTCACCCTATTATTGGATCAGCATCTGATGGTTCTGATTGGTAGTTTTCAAGTTTATACAGGCTATTTGGTTTGCATCTGATTTCTTCTCTCCCGTTTTTGTTGCCGTTGGGCCTTGGCTGCTTGACTAGTCGGTTCGTTTCCATCTCCATCTCCATCTCCATCTTATCAATCTATCTATTTATAAAAATGTATATGTTCAAATTTCCACCCTTGATACTCTCTGATTCATCTATCCATCCACTCCCTCGAATCTTGACCAGTTTTAATACGAAAATGGTACAGTACATGATGAATTAAAGATAAAAGTTATAATTGATTTACTTTCCCATCCGTAATTGTTGCATGCACAGTCATATTTGCTAGTCCGGAAATATGTTTGTACATTGTATAGGACATTCAACTCAGGGGCGGATCCAGGGGGGCTACCCATACCGGAGCAGTGGAACCCCCTGTGGAGCCCCCCATGAATTTTTAGGTAAAGTTCTATAGTGTAGGGGGCTAAGGCTTAAGATCGAGGAGCAGTCGGAGGTATGTGTTGTTCAGCTCCCCCTGAAATATTTCCTGGATCCGTCGCTGGTTCAACTTGTTGCGTAGACAACTTGCGGTTTGAAGATTATTTAGCAATCACATCATGCATTTCAATTTGCCTAGGAATCAAACTCCATATTGTGCCTAAAGTCGTGTTGCTCTAACTCGTATAGATATAAGAGGTTTAGAGATTTATCAATGATCGTGTAACATGTTCAATTTGTTTTAGGATCGAATTCCGCACAATGTCTTAACACTTAACTCGTATGGGCATAGAAGATTTGAGAACCGTGAAAACACTCCGTATTTCAATTTATTTTGAAATCAAACTTTGCACTATGTTTGGATATGATTCCCACACGATAGAGATTAAGTCCATCCAGCCTCATTGGATGGAGTGTAATGAAATCTTTCGCTCTTTAATATTAGTGAATAGATAGATATACATGTATATGGAGTTTAACAGATGAACCTTGGTTGTAATCATCATGATCATCTTTGATTGTAAAGAGTGATGGTATTTCTTTATTTTCTTAATGACCATGTTATTAGGACATCATCAAAAAATTTAAAAGGTAATGAAGTTATGTGTTGATAATAATAATTTTAGGCAGTAATGAGATTTGATCTAGGACGAGTTAGGATACCGAATTACCTCATGACCATAATTATATATGCTAGTAGATATTTCTAGATAGATGTAACGTCTAAAGAGATTTCAATAAAAAATAGAGGTAAAAAATTGGATGCACGTGGTACCGAATTTGTATTTTTTAGTTGTTGTATGATGTACAAGAATGTACAAATCTTTTTGTTACATAAATAGAACCATTAGGACACATATGTATGCTTAAGTTGTATCCAAAATCCATCAATAGTATCGACACTTCCTAAAATATGTCTAGAGATTTGATGAATATGACTGTTAGGGCTTCCCACTTCCTAAAAACTACTTTTTTGTATGCCTATGATGGCGGCATTGGTTCGCTAGATCTTCCCAAAGGTATGATGAATTGATTGATGGAGAACTTGATGTTCACATTCTGGGCTTCTAATCAAATATGATTCAAACCTTTACAACCACTACACCACTGCTTCGTCGTTGCTTATCAACCATGCACAACACGATTGACTAGGGATGACAATGAGTTCCCAAATCCGATGGGTTAAAACCCTATTAGGGTGTGGGTATGTGGCCTTTTAACCCCCATGGGTACGCTAATGGGGGTATTTTCCCCCATCGGGTAGAGCGAGTACAAGTACGTTCCCCCCTACCCCAATGGCAGACCTATTAGAAGCCGACAAGTGGGTCCAAAATGTAAGATACACTATGTGCCATATGTATATATACTCAAAACCCTAGAGCCCCTTCTCTATTCCCTACCCTAGGCGCCAGCGGCCAGCCAGCCTCACTGCTCAATCACCTTCTCGCATCTCGCCTTCTCCAATCTACAATTCTCCTAGGACCTAGATCTAGAGACACTGCGACGACCTATAGCGAGGAAGTTGCAGAGAGCATCGACTGAGCATCAGACGGTCAGAATTCGTGAGCCCTCGCGAGCCCGCGTCATCATGACCACACGAGCTTGCCACCGGTCAGGATGCCCCCCGTCACTCGTTGGTGATGCGCGATAGAAGAGGGTGAGCCAGCCTCAGTGTGAGCAGCGACAAACATGACTCGACAGATCTAGGCCAAGAACAGCTTGTCCCTATTTGTCCTCGTTCTTGTCCATTTTGTTGTTTGTTCTTTGCGCGATTGATGTCACGACACGATTGTCATTTGTTGATAATCATCATCATCATGAGCATCCTTTGCATCTTAAATTCGAATTTGGAAACTAGTTGTGAAGAAATTGCACATTTTGGGCACTACTTGCTCCAGCGGACCATCTGACACACCACCGAAACATTCCGCCTGAACACTTACACAGACTTAGAACTTTTTAGACTGTTCATGCTCTCACGGACCGTCCGGAGCTCATGCGGACCGTTCGCAGAACACTTCATGCACAATTTGAGCTGTCACTTATGGAGCTCTCCTGGCCCCACAAGTCAAGCCAGCTAGCACCATCTCATGGGAGACTGAATCACTAGCACCAAAACACTCACTCTCTCACTCACCCTCACTCTCTCTCTCTCTCTCTCACACACACACTCTCTCTAGTTCATCTATCTACACTCTCACACACCAAGAGCAAGAAGAGGGAGCAAGGGGAGGGGAAGAAGAAGGGATTGCAACATCCCACACCAGCAGTAAAAAGCCATGGATCCGGAGGCCATCTAGGTGCTGCTATCCACAAGGGTTGGGATAGAAGAGGGAGGAGCCCTCTCTCCCTAACCATTTGGAGCTAAGAGGAGAAGGAGATTTCAAGAAGGAGAGCAAGGAGCTAGGAGTGGATCTAACTTCTCCACTGCATTGAGGAGCCTAGCAACACTCCATTGCAATCCTTCGGGAGAAAGATTTGAGCTCAAATCACTCATTCATAAATCACATGTTCATCACCTAGAAAATGTCCCCCAATGACCTAGATGATGGATAGATGCAATGTAGGTTCATTTGACTAGCTAGACATGCTCCATAGTATCCTAGGAACACCCCTAGCAACAAATTTGACATGCAAAAACTCTAGATGAAGATCACCATTTCGAGATATTTTATTCTGCACTGCACATATTCCCGTGGATCATCCGCCTGGACGTCGGAATGTTCCGCGAGAACAAACACAACCAAACACTTAGACAAATTGGTCGATGCTCCCATGGGCTGACTGCGAGAACCTGGGACCATCTGACTAAAATTCAAAGTTCCTATTTTTGACGACCTGAAAGCACCCTTCACTAGCCCTGTTCCCGCGAGACTCTTCGTTCGCACCATGGACCATCCGAGAGAGAAGCTATAGACATGAACACTTAGAGCCTACAAACTTGTTCTCACGGACCCTCCGCGAGAACATCAAACTCTCTGACTATAATTCAATATTCTTTAAATTGAACTTGTTAGCTTCGGGTTTGCACTCTCGGATCATCCGTTTGAACCTTGGATTGTCCGTGAGACCCAACACTTCAAATTTTCACAAATGCTCTGGTGGACTGTTCTCACGGACCATCCGATGATCTGCCATCCGCCAGAACAGTCGACAGCACCAATGATACTACACTACATACACATGTTACATCTACCTATAACCCATGTAATGAACATCAATGCATACCATATCATGTCATTTATCTTTATGCATTGTACTCATTGTGCATCATGCATTCATTACGTGACGAGGGCTCCAAGGAAGTCCAACTTGAGGAGACCCAAACCATCGACGTGATCGATGAACCGCCAACCGAGCAGTCCCAAGGCAGGCCCCTATTCATCCCTCTTTTTGCAAATGCACAATGTGACTATGGTTAATTATTGCATTGATATGTTACAATATGACTAGAATGCCTATGTTTACCTATTCGAGCTTTCATACCTTGAATGTTCCCGCACCACTCAAATGTTGATTGTCCACATTCATTACTCGATTAATCCATGCTTAGTTTGCTTAGACGGTGGAAGTCGAGATGATGATGGGTTTCTCATCACTCACGCGTTATAGGGCATGTTTGTCCACTAAAGCAACATAGTTTATGATCTAAAACTGACCAAGAGAATGAGCATGATCATGATTGGTCGGCGAGGGCTTGGACCATGGCAAGATGGTGAAGTCTTGGATAAGAATGTTGCATAGGCAACATAATTATTTCAAAAAAAAATGCATAGAAAAACTTATACATGACAACATGAATGCATCGAGATTTTATTACCTGTGCCAATTTATTTATTTTATAAAATATTATTGTTTCCTTCTTATTAGTTAGGTCTTAACTCCAATTGAGTTATCAAAAAACTCTAATTAAGTGTAGAAAATTTTTAAACTATTTTAAAATTAAATTTAGGATGTTATAGATTCACAAAGAAAAGTAGAAATCTGTAGTCCTTTTTCGTATATACTAGTTAAAAAAGGTTTTACGCGAGAGGAGGAGAGACCGGAATGCATCTGTATCTTTTGAGCAATTTTTGGACGGTTCAGACCACCATTGCAATAGAAAAACGGACTTGTTAGCGTCCGGACGTCCGTTCCAGGGTGCTAGCGTCCGCACACTGCCACACTTCACGTGGGGGCCCATGGCACTTCGTTTCCCGTGCTTGCATGCGCCCACTCCATTCCCACGCTTCGTTTCCCACGCCTGCCTCTTGCGCCCCCTCCATTCCCAAGCGCATGCATGCAGGCCCAACAGATGTAGCAGGCGGCTACAGCAGGTGGGTCCCACTACAGCATGTGCAACATCAGATCTATTTTTGCAACACAGTAGAAAAAACTTGAAAACCACATGTTTAGCCATTGCAAACATCCATATGAAAACACTTGCAACATACGTACAAAAACACTTGAAACACTTTCATATATATGCAACATCCATGTCTACTTTTGCAACATTCAGATGAAACACTTGCAACATACGTCTGAAACAGATGAAACATTTGGAACCTACACTTGAAACACACGCGTATACCGATTGCAATATGTGTATCATCCCGATCTGCTTTTGCAACATCCCGATCTACTTTTGTAACATCAATACAAAACACTTGCAACATACCTCTGAAACACCTGAAACACTTGAAACATACAGTTACAACATGCGCTTTTCAGCGCAAACATCTCCTTTCTGCTTTGGCGAATGGAGGCTCATCGGCGCGTGGAGGTCACCGGTGTGCTCATCGGCAATGCGGAGTTGGGCGACGGCGTACAAAGGGCAGGGTGGGGGCGGCACGGGCGATAGTGGCGCAGAGGACGGGTGGGCAGCGCGTGAAGGTCACTGGTGTGCTCGATGGTGGCGCGGAGCTCGGTGGCACAGAGGGCGGGGTGAGGATGGCGCGTTGAAGCCGTGACGAACGAGGCGGAGTGGGGAGTCGCGGGATGCAGACTCGTCCATACGTACGGAGGCCTTCCATGGGAGGAAACATATGTTGGTGGGGATCACTTGGGAACAAAGCACGGCGGCGAGGAAGGCATGTGGGTGGATGCAGCGGCGCAGGGAGCGAGCAGGGAAAGGAGGAAGGTGGGTGCGCATGGCGACACCAGGATGCAGCCCTTGCAGTGGATAATGAGAGTCGTGTGGGCCTGTGCGAAGAAGCCCGAGGCGGTGCGCCAACTCGTTTCGGTCCGTGGCGTTAATGGTAGATGTGGCGTCCGATGAAAAGAGAACCGTTCGGATGCCCTAATCTAAGCGTTTCCGATAGAAAAATGTTGGATGTTTGTGCTAGGTTCTTTATTATCTCCTTGTAGAGTTTTTAGGATCAATGTTTATGGAAAACTTATTGCTTGGCTCCTCTCGATCCTTTGGTTCAGCCAAGCAATCTTCACGAAGATACATGCGCAACAAGTGTGACAATGTATCTGCATGAAAAGCTTAATTATTGCTTTGGCTCCTCTCGATCTTCCCCATCGCATCTTCATGAAAAACTCATTGCTTGGCTTCTTCCTTATTTCTTTATTACAGCTTGGCAAAGTGTGACAATGTATGAGCATGTGGATACTAAATACATCCTAAAATATATTTGTACGATCTTGGCCACTTGTACGCTTCTCTTCTAGCGTGCATCATCCAATTCTAACCCCTAACTAGATCATCTTTAATTATTAAGATATAAAAATAGGAGGCCTAACAAGATTCGACCAGCGCGCGCCGGAAATGGCGGTGTCGCCCTTGCTCGCCCTCCTACTCCTGCTGTTCCTCTCCGGTTCCGGTCCCCGCCGATGCCCCGCCGCTGCAGCAGCGAACTCGACGTCCTCATCTTCTCCGTCCCCGCGGCCCACGCCGCTGGTCCCGGCGCTCTTCGTAATCGGCGACTCCACGGCCGACGTAGGCACCAACAACTACCTGGGCACGCTCGCCCGCGCCGACCGCGAGCCCTACGGCCGGGACTTCGACACGCACCGCCCCACGGGGCGCTTCTCCAACGGCCGTATCCCCGTCGACTACATCGGTAATAAGGCCGGGCTCCGCGGCCTCCTCTCCATCCTTTGGTTCAGCGACATTATATTGATGGTCTTTGTGCAGCGGAGCGGCTGGGCGTCCCCTTCGTGCCTCCATACCTTGAACAGAACATGCGCACGGGCGCCGCCGATGTTGGCCTCACAAACATTGATGGGATGATACAAGGCGTCAACTACGCGTCCGCGGCAGCCGGCATCGTCTCCAGCAGTGGCTCTGAGCTTGTATATATACATATAATACTCAATATATCCTCCCATGAATCCCATTATCTAATCCTACAAAATCTGATGCTAACCTTAGCTCGGCAGCATTGTCATAATTTAGTTGACAAATAAATTAATTTAGTGATTCTAGTTGTAATCTTGGTTTGGTTGTGCTGTAGGGAATGCATGTATCCCTGACCCAACAGGTGCAGCAGGTCGAGGACACATATGAGCAGCTGTCACTGGCCCTTGGGGAGGCCGCGGTGGCCAACCTGTTCAGGAGGTCCGTGTTCTTTGTGTCCATCGGGAGCAATGACTTCATCCACTACTACCTGCGCAATGTGTCTGGTGTCCAGATGCGATACCTCCCTTGGGAGTTCAACCACCTCCTTGTCAGTACAATGAGACAGGGAATCAAGGTGTGTGCTTCTTCTTCTCCAGTTAGCTCATTCAGTGCATCATTGGTTGCCACGTTTCTTTATTTCTGGAGTGTGTATGGTATATATGCTTGCTAGGCCGATAGCTATGTTCTTGTGCAAATCAGTGAGTTGGTGGTATCACATTTAATTAGCCGTTGTTAGCCTTAGTCATGTGATGAGCATCAGTTGTGATACTTGTATGGTTCAACTTTGTGCTGCTATTCTATTTAGAGGAAAATGCATAGGCAGTCCTTCAACTTGCCAAGGGGTGCCATATTGGTCCCTCTACTTTCAAAATGCCAATTCTGGGTCCATGAACTTGGCTTCGGGTGTCATCCAGGTCTAAACGAGCTCGGATGAAGACAAACTTTATAAAAAAAATTATAGCCCTCAACAGGATCTACAACTTTGTAGTTGAAAAGTTTTTGATTTTAAACTGTTTAGGGTACCAAAATACTATTGTAAGTTTACAGATTTTGAAATTTAAAATTATCAAAAAATCTCGGATGTTGACATGGTCTATATGAAAGTTATATTTATCAATACAATCTACAACTTTGTAGTTGAAAAGTTTTTTATTTGAAGTCGTTTAGTATCTCAAATATGTGTTCTAAGTTTCTTATTTCAAAATCTATAAACTTAGAACACATATTTGGGACATTAAACAACTTTAAATAAAAAAAATCAACTACAAATTTTTAGATCATATTGATAACTATAACTTTCATATAGACCATGTCAACATCCAAGGTTGTTGGATAATTTTAAATTTCAAAATTTAAAATCTGCGCACTTACAACAGTATTTTGGGACCCTAAATAGTTTCAATTGAAAAACTTTTCAACTACAAAATTGTAAATCCTGTTGAGGACTACAATTTTGATATAAAGTTTGTCTTCATCGAACTCATTTGAACCCGTTTGAACCTGGATGACACCCGAAGCCAAATTCATGAACACATAATTAGTATTTTGAAAAGTAGAGGGACCTAGATGGCACCCCACGCCAAGTTGAAGGACCGCCGATGCATTTTCTCTTCCATTTATAGTTTGGTACTTTGGTTCTTTGACTAAATATTGACAAATTTTCTATGCCTAAACTATTTTCACTTGCAACTGCCATAAATGATCTGGGCTGAGGCTACAATCCCCCTTTGTATGTTGCTGTTCAGTGTTTTGAATTTTAAACTCTAAACTCAGGAGTGAACATATTTGTCTATGTGGGAACTATATAACATTTACAATTTCGAAAGCTAACGGATCTTAACACATGAAAGGAAGTAACCTAATAGATATTCAAATAACCAGTTATGTGAGTTCTGGGATGTAAGATCTTTTCAAATTTCCTTAGTTGGATATATTGCTGGCTGTTAGTTTCAGATGTGGTTTTTCTCAAGAAAGAAACACATTGGTTTTCTATATATATGTCAATCTTTAGTTCTTTAACAATTAAACAACGTTTGCAATCTAAATTTATTAACTGATGTCAGTTGCAACATTTTGATCAAATGCTAAGTTCAGTTAATTGAAATATAACTATCCTGAGTGTACCAAGGACTCAAGGAGGTAAGGACTAATCGACTATAATTGATATTAGTTATTTCTTGGAGTGAATTTATATTTGATTCAATCATATGCTCCCTTCCATATTTCTGAAGTGAATTTGTCATGGCCCAGGATCAACTGGGCCCAATGAACGGTACATCCAATTCCAAAGTTCTGTTCACAGGTACCGTAGCACACTGCTGTGCACGTCTCTGCCGAGTCCAGACTAATGCACAAGGACCTAGAGTCTAGTTAGTTAGGAAGTCTATTCATTTAATTTTCTCACTCCCATGCCTGAGGGCGACTAGCATCGGTGGCTCACTCGCCATCACTGTGCTGTACCACCCCTGCTCTGATACGTTGTGCTAATTTTACATATAAAAAACTTCTACTATATACAATGTACTGCACCCTGCCCTCCATATTTTGAGCCCAAGTTAATTGTATTGTACTTCAGTCTCCACTGGTGGATCAGCTTCCAAATTTCTCCTTCTGTGTTCAAGACCTTACTATGATACAACATGATTCTAAGTTCATATTCATATATTACGTTGATTCTTAAAGGCCTAATTTGTCACAGCCATGGTTGTATTGTCAGACACCCAAGAGTTGAATGTATATATATAAAGGGCGGAAAATTGTTAGTTTTTTTTAATGTTTATGAGACCTTCAGTATTAATTGGAATGCTGTATTTTTGTTTCTTTTTCATATATTCATTATTGTCAAATTATCTGTGGACCTTGTTATTATATAATCAAGTTGCACATCCCCCGCTCTCTCTTCTGATAGTGATGGTTTTATGCAGAATCTGTACGACATCAATGTTCGTAAAGTCATACTGATGGACCTACCTCCTGTTGGTTGTGCACCTCATTTCCTCGAGGAGTATAGCAGTCAAACTGGGGAATGCATCGATTATATCAACAATGTCGTGATCGAGTTCAACTATGCCCTGAGACACATGTCTAGCGAGTTCATCAGCCAGCATCCAGATTCCATGATCAGTTACTGCGACACTTTCGAGGGGTCTGTGGACATACTAAACAATCGTGAGCATTATGGTGAGCAAACTAATCATCGGTAAGTTTGGATTACTTGCTGGCCTTGGGGAAGCGCTTGCATCTCATTGAGACATGACATTGTGCAGGTTTTGTCATCACCACTGATGCTTGCTGTGGGCTGGGCATGGGCATGTATGGAGGTTTGATCATGTGCGTTCTTCCACAGATGGCGTGCAGCGATGCATCAAGCCATGTCTGGTGGGATGAATTCCACCCAATAGATGCTGTCAACCGCATCCTGGCAGATGTGGTCCAGTCAGCACCTATGCCTGACAGATGCTGTCAGGCATCCTGGTGTGGTCCAGTCAGCACACCAAGATGTGCTATCCTTTGGACCTGCAACAGATGGTAAAACTGAAGCTGTAGAACCAATCTGGAATGACTTGTTTAACATGCGTTTCAGAGAACCTATAAGAGGTGACAAGCCGAATTGAAATGTTTAGAATTGTGAATTACAAATACTTTATAAGGATAGACTTGTCAGTTTTAGATAGCTCAGGTTACATGAAAAGCAAGATGTTGTTCCTTGGTATGTTGATGCAATGTAGGGGATCTATATGGTCAAACTGGAACACATGCTGTCAGGCATAGGTGCTAATGAGTGATGAATAGTTTCGGTGACAGAAATTTCATTTGAGATTGTACCTGAAATGTATGTTTCTAAATAAGTAACATTCTGACAAAACTGTTGTCCATACTATTCTGCAGAAAACGTGAGTCGAAAATATACAACCTTTACGAGTCAACAGAAGTTGACCATGGGACTCCAGTGCTTACAGGTGGTTACAAGCTAGTGCTGCAGCATCATCAGTTAGTAATCAGCCACTTCACATACCAGTTCACTGTTTACAGCCTCATGAATTAAAGCAAAATGAAAAAATTGGAAGGCCTATCACTCATCATTCTGTCCCTTACAACGATGCCCTCAAGTGAACCACCTGCTTACAAAGATGCAATGGCCTGGTTGCACCCTTCAGTGCGTTTTCTCTGGGTTGCCACACTAGTATTCCTATTCTGACCCTTCAAATCACTGATACGTAGTGCCTGCACCTTCAGGAGGTTGCTGCTGCTGCTGTTTGTCTGAAACCTGAGTCAACTGAATGACCAGTGTTACTTCCTTCCCAGCAGCTTGGGCATCGCCCATGCCCACACTGAGAAATATACGGAGAGCATGGGGTGCTACAACTCTTCATCACTAGCTCCAGAGTTGAGAACAAAGCTGGGAAACGCCATGGTTATGTCCCTGTATAGAAGATGCACAACACGCCATCAGAGTTTACCACTCGATAAATCAAGTCACGTGATGGTTAGCATGTAAGCTTTTCAGCCAAACACGAAGACTTTTTATGACATGAAAACGTAGTCTGTAGACTTACTTTAGATAGGGAAGCGTCATGTTCTTGAGAAGAGCTGGGTTTTTACTTGCGAACACCTTCCATTCATTAGGATCTATCTTCCCGTCGTCGTTCATGTCTGCTTGCTTGAAAGTCTGCCAAAACTTAAGTTAGCATGCCATAAAATCCATGTCTTGTTGGCTTTGGGGACTTTGCGATGTGGTGCTTCTTGCGCCACAAGAATTGAATTGAAAAATTCAAACATTATAGTAAAAGTTTGGGAAGGAACTAATTTGGCTGAAAGCTACCAGGCACTTTGCTTTGGCATCAATAAAGTAAAGACTGATGAAAATTTAGAGCAAACAGATGTGTCACAGTACACTTTAAGGCTTTAAGCTCAGTGGTGGACATATTTGTGGACCAAGCAACAGGCGGTATGATCGAGATGAAAGTAATGGTTTCTATTGAAGCACTGTACCTGATCAACAATTTGTTCGACAGCATCGTCAGAAAGAAGTAATTCTGATTCATTCAGAATGGCCAGCACCATTTCCTTCAACTTCATGAATGTTTAGAGAAAAAGACTCAGTTATTAACATAGGATTTTCAGAGTTAACCAAAGCTAAAATAGTTTGCACACCACTTTTAGTGCATATATATAAAACATTCATTTGGAGCGACAAGGGAGTGTTGTTTCCAAATTCCAACATAATAGGCTACCATGTCTCAACTGTGTCTTAATTTGTTGAATGGAGGTCAAAAGGTACTTCATTACTTACTGAATGCATGCTGAAGTCTAGGTTATGTATCGGAAGTGCAACTGTGGAAAAAAAGAATATTAAGTGATTCAAAGAAGATTAATGACACAAACCTCTTCGCGTTCAATGAATCCAGTACCTCTCAGATCATATAGCCGAAATGCAACTGAAAGGAAGAATTCCTTAATATGTCATACAGAGAAGAAACATATGGTAGATGACAAAAGAGATAAGATAATTTTGGTACAAATGATCAAAGAGGTTACTAATTTATCATACTAGAAATTAAATATTTCTGCTAGCTTTATGCAATGAATGGTTTTTACCGGTTCATGTTTTCCTCTATCTTCTAAAATTGCCTTATTGTCAGAAGCCGTGTTTCTTCTGTACATTTTTGTGAGGTAAAAAGTGAAAAATAATTGGCAAAACTACAAATTGAACTTTACCCAATTTTCATCCTGAAGCACTACATCAGAGTAATCTTAAAACTAAGTTGCTGAGCAAGTTGCATCAGGAAATGGGAGTTGGAATAGAAATTTTTTATTCTTACAGGCGATCTTTTCTGCCATCGGCGTATCTGGGTGGAAAATGCTGAGGGACCGAACGAACCCCTCAAAATCAATCACACCATTGCGCTTCAGATCAAACAGATCAAATATCTGCACATATTATAGAACAGTATAAAAAAGTCTCACATATATGAACATAAATTTAGAGTTTGCGAGACAGGAGACAAGATAATTCTAGAAAAAGTTTTTAATTTTCTATGAAGATAACTAACTACTGATAAAGTTTCCAGGCCAGAAAGAATCAATTGGTACATACTCCTTGAATTATGCATATTACAGTCCCAAAAATTCTCTAAACAAAAAGGATCCTACAGATAACTGCTGCTATTTGGAGGAGCATAAACTAGGAACTGACCCGATCGGCGAAAAGATTCTTCTTGTTGCTGTTCCTGAAGAGAGCAAGCTGGAACTCCTCCTATTCAATGGAAATGTAGTTCAAGATGTTCAGAATCACATGGTCTAACGAACTTTCCACCACAGAAGCGTTTGATGCAGGCAGTAGGCAGTACCTTGTGAATTAGGCCATCTTTAAATATGGAATAGCTTATCTTCTTGTAAAGCTCATAGAGGGCCTCCACTTCATTGACAGAAACTGCAACAAGTATGAAGAGGCGAACAGACAAAAACACAAGGGTTATTCAGTTATATTCCTTTATTCTTGAGATGAGATTCGAGTATTCAGATTCTTACAGGTAGTCTCTTTAGCCAAGATATTGGGATCCACATATCCGGGAGGTCGTTTGGACTCCTTGGAGGAGACACACCCCATGCAAACCAACTCTCTCTGAAGATGGATGAACAATCACAGCAGCGAATCACAGAAATCGACCAAAGCAAGCACCTAACCAAAGAGAGGATCGGAGAGACATTGGCATCAGCAACAGCAACCCAAAAGACAAAAACACAGGGCGTGAAGACAAAAAGAGGCAACTCTTCAAAAATCAAAACACAGGAAGCAGTTAGGCGGCTCACCGCTAACCGGCGAAGACAGACAAGAGTTGTGCCCAAAAGAGGGAGAGTGTGAAGCGTGGTATGGTATGTTCCGAGCTCTGACTTTGTGGCAGCCGCCGGTGCAATGGACGTATATGGAAGAAGAGCCAAGCAGGCCCATATATGTAGCTGTAGCCTGTGGCCTGAAGAAGAAACATTACTAGTGCCGACAGGCTGGGCAAGCGTTGACCTGCATACCGGTTCCTCTTTCAACGAGATCCGCACATCTGTAATTTTTCAATCCATCACCTCACCTGCCAATATATATTCAAATCCAAGGCATGCTCCGATTCTATATTATAAGCACGGCCTAGTAGTTTACAGTTGTTCCTAGCATTCTAGCCGAGATGCAAGTTATGTAGACACATTATATCTATCTAATATATATACAGTACTAATAGACAATTAGGACAGGACAGGAATACAATTTTAAGAACGCTTACATCTACAGGAGATCGCCTGTGTCTAAAAACGACGTCTTGCCTTTGACAGCACCAGAAATTTGTCAGCATCGGGCGGGTGCCTATCAGACGCTTGTACTATTTCTGATATATTTTTTTTTTCTGGCGGATACAGCCGTGGGCAATTAATATAAATCTTGAAGGAGGCACGCCATTGCAGGAAGCAAGGAAGAAGATGCAGTCAGCGACAGTGCCCTCTGGCGTATCGATCTAGAAATCATCAACCTAACGCTGACAAGCCGATGGCGAAGGCGGCAGCGGAGGTCGTCGGTCGTCTGCAAACTGCCTGGGTCCACAGTCGGCTACAGCCACCACTCGGCCGTAACAAGAAAATGGGTGACATCTCGATCCAGTGTTTGTACCTTGTTTTTGCCGTACGATGGAGAAGGTGTACACAAAGAAAATTAAGGTCACTATTGGAATCCTCAAATTTACCAAGTGTTTTTATGTTTGTCGAGTGTATTTCCTCGGGCATTCGACGAACAAGATCTTTATCGAGTGCTGCGTTAAAAACACTCGGCAAACATGTGGTTTGACGAGTGTAAAAAAAATACTCGACAAAGAGGGGGTTTGCCGAGTATAAAAAAAACACTCGGCAAATAAATAAAATCTTTTTTCTGAAAAAGAAGGAGAAGAAAAAAATAAAAAAAACTTTGCCGAGTGCTCAGATCTAGAACACTCGACAAACAAATAAAATCTTTTTTTTCTAGAAAAGAAGGAGAAGAAAAAAAATTAAAAAAAACTTTGCCGAGTGCTCGATCTAGGACACTCGACAAACCAAAAAATATCGTACTTAACCCACTCCTCCCGTCTCCCAGTCACGCCCTCACTTCTCTCCCCATCTCCTCGTCTCTCTGTAACCTCTCTCACTCTTTCCTCTCCCTCACTTCTCTCGGTGGAGGGCACGGCGGCGCGGGCACACCAGGCCTGCTTCACAGGCGTGGTGGAGGTCCGATATTGCGGGCGTGGCACGGCGGCGTGGTTTTGTGGGCGGGGAGTGGCGTGGCGCAGTGGAGCTGCCTCTCACCTTCACGGTGCCCGGATCCATGGCGTGGCTTGGCGCGGCCTCTCTCCCTCGCCGGTGCTCAGATCCACGGTAGCAGCGGGCGGAGGCGGTGGCCGGCGAGCACGGGTCCTCACGGCAGCTGTCTCCCGCGACGCGGATCCAGGGCGGGCCGGCCCCCACCAGCGTCGGCGGTGCGAATCCATGGCGGGGCGACCCCCACCCGCGGAGGCGGCGGCTAGCGCCGGTGCGAGCGGGGTGGCCGGATCTAGCTCCCTCCCTCGTTCGCTCAACACGGCGGCGTGGATCCAGGGCAGAGAAGGTGGCCGCGGATACAGGGCAGGGAAGGCGGCCACGCCGTCGCTCAGCACGGTGGCGCGGGCCCAGACTCCCTCCCTCGCTCGGTGGCGGCGCGGATCTGGCTCGGTGGCTTCGACAACGGCGGACATGGCGGGATCCAGCACGGGAGCGGCAGATCCAGCATGGGAGGACGGCGGGACCGTGGGGAGGTGGCGCGGCTGCGTCGGGCGTCGCGGGGAGTACGGCGCGGCTGCAGGGAGGCGGCATGGGTGGTGGTGGAGGTGGTGGCATGGATGGAGGCCACCTGGTAAGTCATCCCACCTACCCGGCCATCTGTCATAGTTCAGGATACTGCCTGTCGCGAGAATCGGCCTCACACGATGCGGTTCTGCGTCGTCGCAGTATCAAGATTTGGAGTCAGTTTGAATCTAAATCATTGTTTTGACTCAATGCTGTTATGCCAATGATATGTCAGTAGTGATTAGCAGCTCTTTCTAGATGCGGATGTGCCATAATTTTGTGCCAAAGGTGACCCAGTTTTAGTTTTAGATCTGTAAATTTATACTGGTTTGCACGGCTACAACTCTTGTCTGATTAACCGACTGACTGTAGTTCATTTACTTCTAGACAATTGTTAGCTGTTGCAGCTCAGTGTGATGAATGATCATGGAAACCGTGCCAACCTTTAGCTAATAGTTGATATTCAGATTACTTGTTAGTGACGTTCTGTGATTCTGTGCCTGGTCATTATTCTTGCTTGTAACCTTGCCAACAGTGAACAGTCAGTCCAGCAGTTCCACTAATAGTATGCCAGTATATATTAAAGGATCAGCATGATTCAACATGGATTTTGGTGCCATCATTCTGATTACCGATCAGCATGATTCAACATTAAGTTTGCCTGTCTATATATTTATGAATTAACAAGATGGGGAGTTGACCTTTATAGGATTGTACATTATAAAAGTAAGTAGAGTTTTTGGTACTGGTGAAGTACATGGGGTATTTGTCTTCGCTATTGCTTTCAGCTGACCAATGAAAGTTCTTTTTTCTATGGTTGATGGCTGAATGCTGGTTTAAGCCAAACAATATCTTGAATATCAGATCAATCATTTTGATATGTGATATTTGTGGGGTATTTGTCTCGTGCCGCGCTGCTCTCCCCTTCCCTAACTATGCCTTGTGACTTTTTTTGTTTTGTACTACTTTTGAGTGGCCGTGATGAATCAAGTTTTCATTAGAAAATTTCTGCACTTTAGCACCTTATGAGCTGGTACTTGGGATAATTTGTTATGTTTGCTGCTTAACTAGGATGGCTTGTACCGGTACAAGCAACCAGTTCCGTGGCCCGTTCAATTCCCATTAGAGAGAGAGAATTAAATTAAGCTCCAGGTGAAATTAAGTTGCAATTGTCATGCTAATAATGGTTAAATCTGAGCCATTTCTCTAGTTTTTTTCTCTTGTTCTTTTGCTCCAGGTGAGGAAGGAGAAGCTAGGGGATCGAAAATGTTATCTCTTAATGGTTCATAATTTTGAGCAAAGACAGATTTGTTCCTCAGGAGTCAAAATGAAGCAGTTGTTCATGTTTAGGTCACTGAACTGCTAGCTATCCATTTAATGTAAGATGTTATAATTTTGAACCGTTGAGCTCTTGATGTTCTGTGCAAAGTAAGATGTTATATTTGGTCTCTAGGAACACAAACTTTTAAGATTTAATGTAATTAGATCTGATACTTATTATAAGAGAGTATATTTGTTGTCAAATGGACCTCTGTTGTGTTTTTCCTAGTTGCTGCTAAACCTGTTATCAACTTTTGTTATACAATCAATCCATATTTCTTCTTTTTCTGTATAAGTTGACACATTGACTATTTGTCCTTCACCTTTTCCTTTTGCTCCTTATAGAACCTATGCAAGCAAGTACATCCCTATAATTGCTAGTGTGAGCGAACACCAACCACCAACCTGGCCTTCTTATTTTATGGATATCAATGTGCTGGCCTTCTTGGTTCCTACTGGGATCGAAAATGCTATTAAACTGAAATATGCTGAGAAAAAAAATTATTATTTTTCTTTGGAAAATAGGTTTGCCAAGTGTAATTCCCAAAAACACTCGGCAAACAATAATGGTATGCTGAGAAAAAAATTATTATTATTTCTTTGGAAAATAGGTTTGCCGAGTGTAATTACCAAAAACACTCGGCAAACCACTTTGTTTGCCGAGTGTATTTTTGAAAAACACTCGGCAAACCACTTTTTTTTTGCCGAGTGTCAAATTTGACACTAAGCAAACCTTTGCCGAGTGCGATAAAAAACACTCGACAAATAGCTGTTTGCCGACACTGTAGATGCAGTGTGCTTTTTGCCGAGTGTTTTTTGGTCTTTGCCGAGTGCATGTGGCACACGGCAAAGTCACTGTTTCCGGCAATGGGTGGCATGACTATGACTGGACTGACTTTCATGACTACCAGCCTCCTATGTTTTTATACAAGTTTTTTCGAGGGGGGTTTACCCAATTTTTTAGTAGTGAAATGCATTTTGTACCTATGAAAAAAATTATATGGTTATAGTTAAATGTCTTTTATATGATCTAGATCAACAAGTATTAGTTTATGTATTTTTTTAGCAAGAAACAAAAACCACCTTAATTACAGTAGAGAATTACAAACACCATCAGGTAGAGAGATTAAAACCACACATTCCTGTCTATAGAATTATTGAGTCTCACTAGGTTATGCGGGTCAATGTTGGAGCTTCTTCCTTCATGAATAAACTCCACAGGTGCGAAGTATCACGACCTGGCCGTGCCAACTTATTTATCTTAAGCATTTGAGCCAAATTTGCACTCAAACATTTCTATTTTTTTAAAAAAACTTTGCAAACATGTTCTGCACTTTTTGGGCCCTACAGTGTCTATTCGGACAGTCCAGTCCTCTATGTTGGTTATTAACTTTGATTCACTTTAGTTGTCGGGGTCATAACCCCAGGGTGTCACAAGGCACCGATTAGTCAGCAGGCCACGCGGGCCGCAGTACATCAACTAGCGAAGGCCCGAACGACCGAGGCCCAGCTAAGCCAAGCAAAGCAGGCCAGATGCTAAGGCCGGGGTCGGCCACGACCCTTTCGTCGTGCCTTAGCCGCACGACACTCAAAGGGCGCACGACCCGTAACACCCTCGGTGTTACACTGTACAATTTTTTGCTAAAACACTGCATGAGCATCATACTTATGTGTAAATGTATGGGTTATAGAGTATAAAGCAATATCCGGAACTTAAAACGTTCATTTGAAACACGAAACACATGTTACATTTCATGTCGTGTGGTAGTACTTAGGGTTCTAAATGAATTTTTATTGAATGGAAATGCTATGGAACGCATATGCAGAACTTTAGTAAAGTTGGTAGCGCGAGCTTCATAGGCGACGATGAAATACGTGCGGTCGAGAACGGGATTCGCTAGCTAGTGTATCGAGCAGCTTGGAAATCGTATTCGACGCGAAATCGTTTAGGACTTAGCCGAAATTTCCTAAGTCAGACAACGCGTTGACAAAGCTACGTTCGACAATTTTTGTAGAATGATCGGGTTAGGGAGTGGAATGGCTTTAGGGTTTCTTTTAGTAGCCTGATATACCAGCTAGAGCATAAAATAGGTGGTGTAGCTACTGGATCCTCGAGTTGGCTTTTTGAGCAACTTTAAAATGCGTGCAAAGCACGCTTTTGATTCGATTTGATGTTCAAGCGCCGTCACCACGACCCGGCCGGTGTCGTCGCTTCGCCGCGCGTGCTTTTTGCCAGCCGCCCGCCGCCGCCGCTGCCGCCACGCTGGCGCTTCCTGGCTGCGACGCGTGTTGACCCGTCGACTGGCGGCTCTGCCTCGCCGTCGTCGTCGCCTTTGCACCACGGTCGCATGCTGCCAAGGCGCTCGCTCGCCGTCGCCACACACTGGCCGGCCCTGCCATTGGTCCCGCGCTACAGGCCGCGTCGTCGTTGTTGCTCTGGCACGCCACGCACGCGCACACGCCCGCATCGATCACCATTGTTGTTGCGCGCTAGCGCGAGCGACTTCGCGCCTCACGCTGCTTGCGCTACCGGGTCCCCGTGGGCCTGGTTGCGCTGCCTCCTCCATCGCGTCTGCCTAAGCCCGCTGCCCGCCATCACGTCGAGCTGTACCCCGGTCGTGCTACGTTACGTCCGACGCTGCCGCCCGGCTACTGCTCCCGTTGACATTTCGGCTGCACGCGCGTGGGCTTGCCCTCGCTTTCACGTTTGCGCACGAGGCCACGCCAAGTTTCCCATCATGTCGTCTGGAAGGTCACCGACCGGCCAAGCCGCGCCAAGGCCAACCCACTGATGCTGGCCCATCCTTGTTACCGCACACGTCTGGAGGTCGGTGGGAGTACAACTTCATGCCTAACCCGCCACTGTTGCGGTAGTACGTTGTCGGGGTGTCGATTTAAGTTTTCGCCATCGCCGACCGCCATAAGTTCGAACGGCGTCGCCCAATCAATTGGCCTTATCTACTCCACCTCCTTCCAATTAACCATGCTCGCAACTAGCTCGGGTAGTTAGCTTCCGATTGAGTCATCCCGACGAGCGTTCGTCCTACCGTGAGGTATTGCGAGGTGTTTCCCTCGCGGCGGTCCGCCATGGCCGTCGAGGCGGGCGCGCGGCCAGGGCATCGCACTGTTCTCCATTGTTTCAATTGAGCTATGCTTTGCGTAGTGATTGACTTGGTTGCCTCGCCCGTGTAGCGGTTTCGCCGACAGAGCGCAGAAGTCGCCGGGAACGTCATATTCGCACTTGCCGGGTACCAGAGCGACCCCGCGTGCGTGGCCAATCACCTTGTCGTGCCCCGCAACCTCGTCCAAGCCGTCCTATGTGTCGCTAGTAAGGCCCTCCTGCTCCTTGTATAGCTGGTTGAGTCGGTTGGGGCCAAGGCTCGCCAGAGTGCGTGGCCACCGCCGGCGGACGCAGGGTTCCAGCTGTGTCCGTGGCCAGTTTGATTGGGAGTAGAACGGGTGTATCTAGAACCTCTAGGGTGTTAGCGGTACTCTAGGAATGTGGGCTAGGTAGTAATGGTAGCGTTGGGCTTGACGTTTAGCCGGCGTCGACGTCACCGCGGCCAAACCCCGTCGTGGTGCATGGCCG